AATGAATTAAATTTTTTTAATTAAAGTATATTTTTATAAATAATTAAATTAAAATTATTTTTATGAATAATTAAATTTAAAGTATTTTTAAAAATATTATAATAATAATTTTTTAGTAATGTTAAGTTAATATAATAAAAAAAAGTGATAATATAATATTTGTATCTCTAAAGAGTAAAAGTATAATTTAATTGATATTTTATTATACAAAGGACAAATATTATAATACTTACATCTTTCAGAAAAGAGGAGTATAATTTACACTAATAATATTAAGTTAAATGAACTATATTAAGTTAAATAGATTACATTGTACTACTAAATTTTAGCATAAGAGAGAATAATAATATAAAACTCTTATCTAAGGAAAAGGTGATGTAATTTATGTTTTTTACAATAATTATCTATTCCTACTTTATTTTGTACTGGTATTCTTTCACTTGTAATTTTTTCAAAATATTTATTAAATGTCGATCAAGTATGTTCAGTGGGGATAATATTGTTGAGAACTTGATTCATGGAGTGCCATAAATAATAAAGCTTGAAACAAATGCTCTTATGGTTTATTTAGATGAAAGAAAAAGAGTACAAGTGTTTTTCCTTTTGTATATATTTATGTTAAAGAAAAAAGTGAATATAAGAATGGTTAGGATGGCATGGCAATGGGAGGTGCAAGTACAGTTGAAAATTGTAACTGAGAGAGAGCAGAAGAACTGAAGAAGCTTTCGAATTTGTTTATTGGAAAGAATAAAGTTGTTGGATGCTGGCGTGACGTTGACATGAAAACGAAACTTTAACAAAATGAACTTAACATGTGGCCTCTAATCTTCTCATTATATATTACATTTACAACAACTCATAACCTTTTTTCTTTTTAGATCATATTACTAACTTACATAATACACTTTTTACTATGTTTCTGTCACTATAATGCTTTTTTATTTTCCTTCTAAACTAGTAGCCAACCTTTTCAAAATAAATGCAATTTTTGCACTATATTTATTAGAGAAAATTGTAGGCAGCTCCACTGAAGAAATTTGCACCACACATGGCTCAACATATTTTCCTATAAATAATTATGTCTGTTGTTGTATCGCTATCTGCTTCTATATATGCCAATGAATAAAATGTTTAGTTGTCCTTTAAAATGTGAGGGGGCATAAATAGTTGTACATTTTAAAACAATTTTTATTGCATTTATTACTTTGCATTTTCTGAATCCGATCGATTCTGCCATTGCCAAAAAGCAACAAGGCTTTTCAAGGTCGACAAATGGCATAAATATAATGAACTCTGTTTACAAGTTTTTGTTTTTATTTTTATTTTGTTCGTGGCTTTCTCTATTGGAATAAAGAAAACGTATTAGATTCTCTTCCACCTTCTCATGTTGCTGCTCTGTGTTTTACCGATTCCTCCCTTAATATTTTCGCATTCACAATAACATTTCATATATTATATAGTCTATTTATGTTATTCATTTCATATAGTGTAGTATATTTTTTTATTTAATTATCGTTAAAGTTTCAAATAATAAAATATGATTAAGTATTAATTCCCTAACGTATATTACCTTCTTATGCTAAATTTTCAAAAGAAAATCATGTAAGAACAAGAATTACTCAATAAGTGTACTTGGTATTTATTAAATAGATTTAATTGCACTTTTATCTTTATTTTATCATTCCGTAATTTTAGTCTTTTTATTTTAATATAAAGATGTATAATCTCCTATTTTTCTTTAAATA